CGCATTGTTTTTGCATTGATTTTATTAAAGGTTATTTACGTTTCCGCATTTAAATCTTTAATGTATCCCCCCCCTTTTTTTACTCACCAGTTGGGTGGAAGTAGGACTTCGAGCAGGATAAGTCTTTATGACTACAATGAAACTACAAATGTATCAACTTAAAATGATAAAAATCACACATGGTCATATATCAATTAAAAGTCAATGTTCAGCACTAAAAGTTTATATATATATTTTAAGCGTCAGTATACTATTATACAGTACATGTAGCACAGTTTAAAGCGGTAAACTTGTAGCCAACTGACTTTATAAAGTCAACCTCGTATTCTATTCTCTACCATACTTGACAAACTGTTCGGATACGAATTCAGCACGTTCGCGATCATTTTTACGAACGGATGCTATTGCTGATAAAGACCGAATTTTGATGTAAGTTGTTGTTTGGATCTTCTGCAAAACGTCCATAAAAATAAATATAATTGTGTGACATGGATAGAACTGGGAGAAACGATTCCGGCCCAGTTGTGGTTCTTTTGGTATCTGTGTTGGGAGGAGATGACCATATTTGATAATAAAGTCTTATACCGATATATCATTATTACCATTTTTTACAGGTGAAATACAGGTAAAAATGCTGAAAAGTGGTATCTATTTATTTCGGAAAAGTAATGCACGAAAATGTGGAAACGTGAACTGGGTTTTTGCTAAAAATGCGGAAACTTTATACACCCATACAATTACTATATGTCTCTGATGAAGATTATTCGTTCCAACTTTTATGAAGAAATAACCGACTTTTTTCAACTAGATAAATAAACAACAAAAATGCCGTTTTTTTTCTTCTAAAATCAATTTATTTCTTTAACAAAAAGGATTTTTGATAAGGATTGTTACACAAATGTAGAGCCTAATTTTGTAACGAAGATATTCCTTATCTCTTTACCGAAATCCGCATACGTTTATCTTTTGAAACAAAATTTAAGGAGACAGAAATGTTCAAGAAACCGAAATTTTTAGTAAATGTCGAAAACTTCAAACCCGTTTATCTTTAAAATTCAACACATGAAGATATAGATATAGTTTTTATTACATATTCAAGTTGATTTTGTTAAAATTAGCTTGTATGTGAACTTTCATAAAAAAAAAACAGTGTTGTTGGTCGTTTGCCCATAATTGCCCTAAAGCTAAATGTCATCGTCAGATTGTGAGGGTCTGAATCGGGATTCATTATTTCTGTATTCTATAATTTTAGGCAATTTTTTCTATTCGTTATACCTTTTGCCGATCATTCTTTATTCCATGTATTCTAGAACCTCATCATTTTCTTTTCTATGTATTTGTCTGGTTATTTTCTGTTTTCTTTATTCTTTTGTCCATAATTTTCATCCACAACGTCATGTATAATGGAAGACGATAAACATTTTAGTATACATACCACCCGTTGTCAATTCTCCCCTGATATACAAACCACATGTAGTTATTTCTCACTTGGACACAGAACTTATATATATATATATATATATATACAACTCGTCTAAACATCAACCCAACAATGTTAGATCTGTAAATTTGCTTTCGCAATTTTTTTGTTCTTCCCTCGCCGGGATTCGAACCCATGCTACTGAGATATCGTGATATATATTTTACGTAATAGTAACGAATGGAATTTTATCGCACTGGCTTGTTAAATGTATTTTGATCTGACAACAAGAATACATTTGTTTATCATAATTTTTTACTTTATCTAAAATTAAGCATGGAAATGGGGAATATGTAAACGAGACAACAACATGAAAACAGAAGGCCACCAATTATATTTGATCATGTTTTAGTTTCGAAAAAGGCATCAACCATCGTATTTTCAAAAAATCTTTACAAGGATGATCAAAGTTTTAACGACCTTGAATGGCTATACAGACTGAGCCCTCGCACGGTCGGTCTCTAAAATTTGCCGAATTTAAGAAACTTTATCAAGAGATAGGCTTTGCCTAGCTTTAGGCCCCTGGTTTTAAACAATATCCATTTAGGAACCAAATTGTGGCTTCTTTATATTTAATTTTGTCGAAGAGAACAATTACACAAAGTGCAACATGCGAGAAGAGGTTTCATTTTCGCTTACATTATTTTTTATTGAAGTGACTAATCTTTTGAGGTTACGTCACGGAAATATATTTCAAATGAAAAGGTGCAATTGGATGCATCCCTAAAAAAAAATAAAAATATAGAGATAAAATTACGGCTATTCGTCAATCAGACAGCAATCCTACATAAAAACAAGTAGGTTATCTGACAAATAGAATAAAAGGTTAACTTTAAGCATAACCCGCGCTGATATCAACTTTCTAAGTTCTGAGTAAAATTCAACATACATGTAGGACTCTGAAACGTAAAATATACGAAAGTTGTTTTTTTTTACGTACGATACACGGAGAGTGCCATTTCCTAAATACATACGGGTCCACAAACTATTATAATGTAAGGGTAAATGAGGATCTCATTAGAGGAACAAAGTAAAGATGCATGCTGAAGGAAGAATAATTTCCACACAGAGAACATCAAAAAGGACGATCTCTCAATTAGTATGCAACTGTAACTAATACACCCATAGACATTAACACTAGTTAATGCTTTATATACTGACATTGAAACAAATATACTGCTCATATAAAATTTGTCATTACTTTCCCGGGAAAAAGAATACGTTTCCACAATTAAAGTCTACGCTTCCGGAAATAAATACCTTACTTTTCCGAGAAAATAGTACAATTCCGGTATGTTCAGGCAAAAGTAGTAATATCTTTTAAAGTCAAATCCTAAGGAAAGGATGCACACAAGAGCTAACTGTACACATTCTTGTATGTTGTGTGGTTGAGTTGCTGTCTCTTTTACGTCTTTATCACATCTTCTCTTCGTATATGTACGCGACTTTGATATCGTCATGCATGGACACAATACTTCACTACATTTCCATTTTCGTATTTTGACATGATTAATATACAAATAAGAAGATGTGGTATAATTGACAAATTCGAGTAATTATACTACATAACATAGGTGATGTCATGATCACAAAACTTCCAATAATTTTGACATTGATCATTAGTTATATTTTACTATTTTGTAAATTTGAGTTATTGACAAACAATCGCAGGTCTTTATTTGTAGCACGTTCCTTCGTTCACGTTTCCGCAAAAAGAAAAAGAGTTTTCTTCTCGGACTTTAACAGCCCTTTCCCGCAATTATTTTCAAGATAATTTCATATAACACATTATGAAATCCCGACCAATGAAATTTATTTGAATATTAAACGTGGCCTACGAGAGCACCTAGATTAAACTTGGGAAGTTAGAATAGCCAATTTTTTTTTTTTATCTAGTAATTACCGCTAAAATATGCCTTACACAATTATATGACAGAAACATTTTATCCGACGTGCTTTACAATGTTTAAGTTACCTTTTGGTCTTAAAAACGTTTTTGAAAGCCGCAAATATAAAAATAAGGTTTTTTTTTAAATATTCCTTTTGGGCCAGGGCCGACCGTGCGAGGGCTTAATAGCCAGTCCAGTTCGTCAAATGTTCATTTCTTGCAAGAATTATTTTACATGCGGACATAACGATAATCCCTTCGTAAACCCACTTCAAATTTCATTTGTCGTTTGCTGCTTTTACACAAATAACACACATTTTTAACCAGTGACCGGTATTACAATTTTACACAGATTTAAAAGTTCATTGAGCTGTTACTTTAATTACAAGTTTTAGCAAGACGAAACTGTTTACTAAATGAATTCAACAAATGTCAAGCTCATCTAGATCAATTTTATTATTTAACAAAAAAATGTTTTTAATTACAAGCTATTTTAAATGTCGGTATAAATGTTAATGTTTTTTTCTTGCCAAAAATATAATATGCATCTATTAAAACTTATTGTCTATTGATTAAAAAAACATCTTTCCCTTCTAGGTTTGTAATGAGCACAATTACGACCTTCTTATTATCTTTCCGGTTTTTATTTTTTCGCAGATATATTTAAAAGACCATACCTTACTTACATGCCACGAGTTTTCATATTAGTAAGCAATATTGAAAACGAATAATTTGATATAAAGAGCTATTTTATTTTTAACAGATTAACACTTTGTACTTTTTAAATCGTGCATCAATATTTAAAAATTTATTATATATCTATTGTTCATTCGTTTATCTTAATTGTGAAGCATGTTTATTTTTTTATTAAAAAGTCTCACCGCTTGTATAACATTATACATTCCAATATACATATAAAACATTACGTATAACATAAATATTGGAAAACATATATAAAACTAACCACCAGTAAAATATCTTAAATCGATAACGCTCGGAGCGGATTAATGATAGATACACGAGGATGCTGTTCTGCTTGAGTGATTTACCTTACAAAAAGGCGGACACTTTAAAGTTTAAAAGGACTTAACATCAGTTTGATTCCGTTTAACGGGGGCGTGGCTAATTAGTTTGACGCAGTTTAACCACATCTCAAATTAACTTGAATGACCGCAAGGGAAACTATTTGACTGGTATTAAAATGATTTGATATGGATTGAAATGCATTAAAAATAATTTTTAATTTTTGTCAATCTTTATTCAATTTTCATTAATCATTTTTAAATGCCGTTAATGCGTTTTTGTCTGTTCAAGTTAAATTCGAGTTACTAGTGCTTGTTACAAGGACACACAAATGAGTTGCAAAACATTTACTGAAATGCAAGATGAAACGGTATTTGACGAGTTATTGTTTTTTTTTTCCCGCAAAACTATGGATTTATAATTTCCCTCTGAAAACCTCCTTTCACATACTTTTCCATATATATTTTTTAAACTTAAGTTTGTTCTATCGTGTATTATATATTTTGAAATATAATGTGTTTACATCTTGTTTTCCCGATCAGATACACTTTCTAAACTGAAAGAATTGTTAAAGTAATTAACTAAATGTGTAAGCCTTACATGTTACAGGTTATGCAGGATTAGCGTGTAGGAGGAGTGGAGGAATTTGTACGAAAAGCTATTGTCCAAAGGGGTATCTTGAGGACCATTTGCCACACGAAGACTGTTATTATACTGAAAGATGTTGTCTTCCCTTGTGGCATCAAAAGCCATCCAATTTTCCAAGTACTTACTTTGATTTAAATCAATTAGGTTTATTATGATCTCACGTACATTAATTGCCAAATTATGTGCAGTTCATTTCTTCAACAACTATCATATCAGTATGAATTTCATATAGATATGAACATATTGATGGCAACGCGCTAATAAAAATCGAATAAGTCATTGATAAGTACTCATTATTACTAGTATCAGACCTGAAACCTGGACATATGAATATCAATCATAGTATGCACAACTGGGTTTCTTGAAAAATTATCTTTAAATCCGATCGCCACCAAAAGTTTGGAAAGCGGAACGCATTTAAATATTCTGAGAATTATCAACAACATGCTCTTAACAGAACAACATAATGTACTTATTTTACATGTAGCATGAGATACGAGGATAAATAATCGCCAATAAGACAGCACCCGAACGACAAAACAAAAAAACCAAACAGACATCTCCACAGCAACATCTACAATCTTAAACAATAGACGGGGTTTTTGTAATATTTCAAGATCTAAATCATGCCCAGTCTATACAAGTTGTGAATAAATTTGACTGACACAATTTTCAATCTTTGTTTTTTGTTAGTTGTCATATTAATCGACACTAACAAGTTAATTTGAGAGCCACTTAGTTGTAAAAATCATTATGGACTAGTATCTAAAGTAACTTACAAATTTCAAACAACATTAATCAATAATTCAAATATCAATATTTTTTTGTTTTTTAGCCGATAGCAATTACTCTTCTCCTTATCTTGCCCGATCTCTTGTGGGGCTTAATTGGAGCATATGACAATATATCGTTTTTATACTGGTAATGTAAGATTTTGGTTTCACATTAGTTTTATACATTATTAAAGGAACGGCTGCTGTATGAATATGATTTTCGATTTAAAAAGAGTGTTTTGCCGTTTCAAATGTTTCAAAAATCCTTATATTTCAATTAAAACGATTCTTTGAAATTAAAATGACAGAAAAAAAAAATATTAACTTGTACATATCATCCTGTTTTTAACAATACTCAACTCTTTCATTTAAACCACGAGCAAATGCTTCATTTCATGATTGTGAATATCTTATGTGATTATGTGATTATAGTTATGTTTTCTAGAGTAAATCATATCTGTATTTGTAAAGGTCTTAATGTAACGTTACATTTTTTTCAGGTTACTAGGACTCGCTCAGCGTGAAATGACAACGTCAAAGCTACGGTATTAATAATTTAATAAAGAATATATATGATATAACACTATTTTCTTTATCTGACATTCAATACAGTTAACATCATTGGACGAAACGATTCAAAAAGATATTTCCCTACCTTGTTGTATTTGTGCCACCAAATAAATAATTAATTATGAAAATAGTTTAAGTCACATGAAACGAGTTTCTTGTAATTTTAATGCTATCGAAATTATTGAACCAACGCACGCATATATACTTAGTAGCCTATTAGGGTGTCCAGTCAATGGAATTGAATGATTTGGGTTATTAGAATAACACACGGCTGTACGTTATATCAGTAGAAAGAGGATAACAAGCCTCATCGAAATATTGATGTCGTCGTTGTCTACAGTGGTGACGATTGTCTTAATTTTGTGTCAATGGTCAAAGCTAAAATTTCAGAGAAAACGCAGAGCCACCTTTAAACAGCGTGCCGACCCTACATATGTCCGTTTAGAGCGAAATAAATTCGAATAATTTAAAACGATTATTACTTTAGTTTCTATATTTATGACTGATTTGATATTTATGTTGCAAAATATGATTCGAGATTGACATTTGTACTTTTCATTCTGATAAATAACAGTGACATCGATCGATTAAAATTTCCAAATTTTGAATTTTTACATAAAATTCGATACAACTGATCATTAGAGATGTCATTTACATATTATCATTTATAAGTTGCCCTCCAAAAATGTTATTTTTCCCGTCTTTTGATAGAAGGTGTTCGTAATGATTTTCTTGGTATATATCCAACTTTCTTTTGCTAAGTGTGGAAGCATATACAATTGTACTTTGTTCCAAAACAGGTGTAATAATAATGCAGAATGAATTGAATTAGCAGGTCTGAGTATATCTTTGCTCTTTAGAAACGAGAAATACTGCAAACGGTAAAAAAGGGAGAGGGGGTCTGTCAAAGTTTAATCACCCCATCTTACACACTAATATGACTTATTGAGCATCATCTGGCTATAGAATTGACATGAAGTTAAAGATTATCTACAAAATGAGTGCTATGTACAGTATCGATGTATTCTACTAACACCATTTTGTTACACATATAAACAAAGTAGAAAATATTGTCAATGCATGTAGTAGCTTTTACGTTTCATTGTGTACTGTTAGTTTGAAAGTCTAGGTCTAAGTCAGAGAGCTATATTCAGTTGTTTTTATTTTAAGCTTGTATTCGACGCAAGAATGCGAGGCATAATTAATACAATCTGATGGTGGTGGCGGCGGCAACTGCGTAAACTATTTGTATAGTTTTATGTTTCAGAATGTCTCACTTATCATGAGTTCTGGGATAACTATATCTGGTTACTAGTATATGGTATCCATGCAAGGTCTACATGTCCATCAGATATGGTTCACTTGACCTCGACCTCAGTTCATTGATAGGTGAAATAGGTTACGTTTCCGTGGTATAGTCCATATCTCAGATGCTATAAGTTGTGGGTCAAATATACTTGTATGGAATGATAGCAATGTATACATGTCTTTGTGGAAGAGTTCAACTGACATTACCTCATTTACGCGTGGATCATTGATAATGTTTATTTTATTTAATACTTGGTCTCTTAAACTATCGACATAGTTCAGGTATGTTTAATCAAGCATGCTGTACCTTATTCCTTATCTTATAGAAAAACCTGATATAACATCCTAGTTTTTACGGTTATGATCTTTATGGTCTTACTTTTCACGTACACTTGTTTAATAGTAAAAAGTAGCCATTCAAATATATAAAACATGTTCATTTTTTTTTTAAATTTGAAGTTAATATTATTTTCCGACGTCGAAATACCATTGGTCAGGTATAAATTAAACAGAATAAAAGAGATGGGATTCGAATTAATTTCCAACGGATTCAAGTCAGATTCGTCGCCAGGGAACCATCAGCTACTATGAAAGACTAATATTAAAATAGTTAAAATTGTAGCAATTAGACAAGTTGCGACATTACAAAAATTCAACCAGTTGAACAAGTTTTTTTTTTAAAGAAATCAAATAAGGAAGTACTATATATATACAAAGAACGCAAATTACTTGAGGAGCAATAAATGGGCAACACAAATCCTTTAAAACTTTGAGGTTAGGTCTGATTTGTAATAATATATTATTTTACCATGATATATATATTAAAATGGTTACTGAATAATGATCGATTAATCCTGCGTCATATGCTATTAAGATAACAAGGGTGTGTCGGTGTTTCAAAAGTCGAAGCAACAAAGAAAGCTTTTTTGTTTATTTCGAAATCTGTATTTTTACTAACTCAGACCCTAACCATAACCTAACTAACAGGTTTGCTATTTTCCCCAAACAAAAACAGATGAGTTAGATTTAATTATAAGGTTACCACAAATAATTCTGTATATAGCAAAGGTCTCTCAATTCTGATCAAATCAGTTCAGAAAACTAAAACGTATCTGTGTCATAATCTCGTCCTCTTTTCTTTGATCATGACATAAGGTGTCACATGTGGAACAGTATCCAGCTAACCATTTTGGAGCACATAATATCGTGTTGTTCAATCTTTAGTTTTTTATGATGTGCTTTGGAGACTGTCGTTTGTTGTTTGTTTGGTTTTCCTTTTTTTGCAAGTTTTTGTTAGTTTTTCTGTGATTTATGGAATTTGATTGTTCCTTTGGATACCGTACTCTTGTTAACAAGTCGTGAAGCGTGTGAAATTGATTTTCTTACTTTACATCTGTAAGATCAAGTATTCACTTATTTGAAGCTGTGCATGATTAAAACTATCACATTGATCTGAGTTTGATTCTATTACACCCTGACTAGTGCATGTAGTGATAGCTTATATATAAACTACGCTGGCTGTGGCTATTGTTTTAAGTCCCTATATTTAACATAGCTCCACAAGTATGTATACATAACTGACTTTGTAAAGTTCGAATCTAGCCGTTTTCGATGAAGGTGATATCAATTGGAAGCACGAAATTTGTACAGTATTATTTTTGATTTAACATCAATACAACGAAAAAATAAAGACGATTGCGATGTTTGTTTATTTATAAAAAAAAGACTTGTGATAAAAGCTAAGTAGATGAATCATGTACAGAGATCACTAATTATATAATTATATAATTTATGCATGTCTTCGTTCAAAATGATTTGATAGGACTTGATTCATCAAGTTCGTGTTCTGTCATAAAGCAATGTATTATCTAACTATACTTTAAATGATATAACTGAATAGGAAAAGTATGTACCTTACCATCCATACACATGTTCAATGAGTCATCTGCAAATATTTAACGAAATCATTCGCTAACCTACCACACAAACACGAAGTTGTATGTTTGATTGTTGTAAAGCTTTGATAAAAAAACAATCCAGCGTTTACGATCTAGTAAATATTTATGACGAAAACATTTGAGTATCACCCAGCAAAATGACAAGACAATAATAGACGAAATACCGTTATTTAAAAAAAAATTATATTTGGTATACGGAATCGAACACTTAACAATTTTAAAAGCCCCTCTTTACTCCCATTGAACCGATGTAAATGTAACTTCATGTACTATTTTGTCAGATATTTGATTTTCTTCAACCATATGTTAAAATCGGTGAATTGATTTAGAATTTTATTAATCGGTTACGAAACATCATGTATTAGTTTCTAAGATTGCTTATTAATGACGCAAAATAACGTGGAAATTTATATACATTAATCTAGCAATTATATTCGATAGTCTTTACGGTGCATTCGTAAATAGTCAAGTAGTCAAGAACTAAGACAAAAAGCGTTTAAAAGTACAGAAACTGTTCAGGTGCAAAACGATTATTTTAATACCATTATAGGTTATACCTCTCTACCGTTAACTTAATATGCTTATTCTTCAAAAATCAAATAGGTTCTGGAAACGTGTGACATATGATATACATAATATGCTTTAATAAATAATTGATGCGTAGTTAATGTTGTATGTATTCTTTTCCGACTGAGGGGGAGCAAGACGTGCATGGTATACACGTTATATCTCTTTGAGTTTGTGAAAAAGACAAAAATGAAATCCAGTCACATCATTTGTATTGCTTTTTTTCTCGCCGTTATGTGCGGAACATGTAAGTCAAGTCTATAACTACTTCTATGTGATATAATTTTTATTTTAACGAGAACATACATTATACCCACTGACGGTTGATATGAGATAAATAAACATTCTCAAAAATGTTTTCAGAATTGGACAATATTTGATTGCACAGATAACCGCATAATTGTCCGATAAGAAGACAGTGCTCCGGTACTGGCATGATAAGCATAGCAGTTTTTTCCGTAATTATAGATTATCGATGGTTTTTCAAACGAGACGGTGTTTCTCATCTACAATTTTATCGGAAGGCGACAGCCCTGAGCTGAGATGTGGCCGAGAAACATCCTAGAGTTGCACTCAATAGTTTTTACTTATGGAAAAGATCTTTAATCTCTTGTCCATGGTTCACATTTGAATTTGATATTTTTAAAAAGGCTTCACATAGACATGACGAAGGTCAGTTTTTATGATTAATATGACTACTATATTAATCATAAAAACACACTATTTTACATATATTTTGATTTTATTGCTAAGTGTAAATAACTGTAATGTGATCTTTGAATTATAGATTATCGATGGTTTTTCAAACGAGAGGGTATTTCTCAGCATTAATCTCATCGGAGGGCGATAGTCTGGAGATGAGGTGTGGCCGAGAAACATCCTCGAGTTTGAAAGACCATTGATAATTTGTTTATCGTTATTATGCCTATGATGTAGTTGATGTTTACATTGACAACGCCACGTGCGCCCTTAGTTTCTGACGATGATTTTCTATCGCAAGCGAGTAGCATGATATGAAAATTATCACAAAATAGACCAAAGGAAAAATACACAAAATAGCGATGATATTGTTTTATCGTTTCCTACATCGATTTGTTAATCAATAAAATAAAGCATAAATATAAGCTTTTGCTATACGACTGTCAATATTAACGGTCCTACATTCTGTCGAAACATATTTCATGGCATTGCACAATATCAAGTTTTCTCTGACTGTGTATGACGTCTTTATACTAAATTTATTGG